CAGTGATCAATATCGTAAATCACAATGCCCAAAAGGAGAGATAGATAGATATATAGATAAGTAGAGAGACAGAGACAGAGAGACAGAGACAGAGAGATAGAGAAGAAAAGTGCCTGCCATAGAGGTATGCTGGGACATAGGGGGTGATGGGAGGGAATGGGGGGACACTGATCACTGATCCCGGGAAATGTACACTGGTGGAGGGATGGGTGCTGGAACACTGTACTACTGAAACCTAAACCTAATCATGTAAGGGTCTTTGTAAGGGTCTATCTCACAGTGATTCCATAAAAAAAAAGTAAAATTAGAATGGTCTCGTCTCAAAGCCTAGCACCTCAAATTCAAAACATGCATTTGCTTGCTCATATTGGTTGCTGGGAATAGCAATATGCGCACTGTCGCACTATAGCAACTGTCCTCCCATTGTTCATCGATTTGCTTGAGTGGGCCCAGTAACGTCTTCATTGTGAGACTTGTTGTTACTGTGTTTGGCATATCGAATACATCACGAGTAGCTTGCCAGACTTTGCCATGCGGGTGAGATAATCTCGGTAGCTTGCTGGGCACTCCGAGAGGGGCGGAGGAATCGAACCCGGTTCAGCCTGGGCCAAGCGCAAGGCAAACGCCCTACTGCTGTGATATCACTCTAGCCCAGCAATATGCGAATGCGAGACAAAAATAATGCTGCCTTCACATTGACCATCACATAAATTGAGACGAGTCTTATGGTATAGAAATAGTTTGTATGGGAGGGAGGGATGGGGAGAACTTTCTGTTGGCTTCATACTCCGGCAGCCCAGAGACTCTGGAAAATATATCTCCAGCCTTCAATCCGAGACCTTCATCAGATAGGCCTGGCGCCCCCGCCGCTGACTCCACCACTGGCCAAGTCCAATCCAACAAGATGAAAAGCCCGCAGGTAGAAAGACGGCGCGACAGATAGCCTGCGGCCTGGGCCCTGCCACCTTTATTGCCACCAGTAAATGGAGAACTGCGGCAGGAATGACGGGCCTCTGCCAGGCGTGTGGGTGAGCCTCCTGATAAAGAGACAAGGGCTTTGTCTGGGGCCAGGGCCCAGGGCATGAGAACTGAGAGCCTGTGTTTCCCAGGGGTCATACACAGTTTTCTTCTCTCCCCAAAGCCAACAATTTATTGGTGCTTGCTCAGTGCCGTCTCACGGAGCACAGAGGCCCTAAAAACCACCGCCTGGGTTACTGCAAGGACGCTTGTGTGAAATTGTGTCTGACTTTAGCATAGGAAGGTGTTTATAATCATTAGTACCTCAATCTAGAGATGTCAGTGAGTGGTCCCAGAAATAAAGGGGAAGGAAAAGATCCACATAGCCCAGGTGCATTTGTTTGTTTGTAAGTTTGCTTGATGTGTGCTCTGGGGTTACTCCTGATTTGGAATACTCAATGCTCTGGGGACCAGGTGGTTCCAGGGACCCAACCTGAGGTTCCCGTAGGGAGAGCATAATCACTCGAACCCATTAAACCATATTCCTGCCTCCTACCTTCACCCTCTGCACCTATCATCTCCAGAACGAAGAGGTCAATTTGACTCTCAGAGGTGGAATTGGAGTATTCACGCAAAGCCATGTCATGAAATCATTTTTAGCATTCATTGTAGTTCAATATCAAGGGAAAATTTTAGACCAGATCATGATCTGGGTTGTGATGGGCAGAGATCAATCTGCAGAAAGCGAACTCTCTGTTCTGTTTTGAAATCTATACCAGGATGATGATTTTTTGGTGTTTATTTATTTTTTTTTAAAGTCTGAAGATCAGAGCTTTGTGGATAATTATGTGTGATCTGACACATTTGCTTCATGAATGCTCTCTGAGCTGACCTACTTTCTTTTCTGACAGTTACATTTGAGCACTAATGGTTTTTATTCCCCCAACCCCACCCCCAATAATGCTGTCAGGCCCCTGCTGCACCAGCACCTCACTTAATCGGTCATATTGCTCAAGCTAAGAAGAACGTGGCTGCATCTCTGGTCGGTTTCCAGAACTTAATATTCATAGAGTTTGTCTGGACTCCAGGGTCTCTGAGGTGTGTGTGTGTGTGTGTGTGTGTGTGTGTGTAGCAGAATGTCTCTGGACATGGTGGCCTCCTTGGGAAACTCCATGGGGATAGGAAGGGTCTTCCTTCCTCCCTCCCTCCCTCCCTCCCTCCCTCCCTCCCTTCCTTCCTTCCTTCCTTCCTTCCTTCCTTCCTTCCTTCCTTTTTTTTCTCCCTCCCACCCTCCCTTCTTCCTTCCTTCCCTCCCTTCTTCCTTCCTTCCTTCCTTCCCTCCCTCCTTCCTTCCTTCCTTCCTTCCTTCCTTCCTTCCTTCCTTCCTTCCCTCCCTCCCTCCCTCCCTCCCCCTCCCTCTCTCTCTCTCTCTTTCTTTCTTTCTTCCGGAACTACTTTTTTTTTCTTTTTTAGGTCACACCCAGAGCCATAGGGTTACTCCTGGCTCTGCACTCAGGAATTACTCCTGGTGGTGCATTGGGAGATCATATGGGATGCTGGGAATCGAACCCGGGTCAGCTGTGTGCAAGGCAAATGCCCTACCCGCTGTGCTATCGCTCCAGCCCCCTGACTACTCTTATTAGTCAAGATTGGTTGTTTTCTACATTACATTCTCATCTGATGTACATTACATTCTCATCTGATGTACATTCTCATCTGGTGTACTTCTACTGGAATGTCAGTATTGTAGAGTTTGGAGGTGTCCCACAACCAAAAATCCAGAATATTTAACTGAATGGTTTAGCCAGGGTTATTCTGGTGGATTTGGGGTGCGGGTTCAGCTGCTGGGGCTTTGGTTGGCCGGGGGCTGCCCCACCCCCATCCACTCCTCAGATCGCCCCAGAGGTCTCAGCCGGGAAGGGGTGTCTGAGAAACTTCTGTAGCTAGTTGATCTCTTTTGGATTTATTTATGAGTCTCTGGAACAAGGCCAGGAGATGTGCTCCCACGGTGATGGTGGTGTTGAGACATGGGTGTGATAGCCGGGGCTTCCGGAAGTACAGGGATGTGTGTTGGGGGGTCACCCATCCCAACTCGGAGAAGAAAGGGCCGTTTTTTGGCTCCCGTGTGGGTTGAGAAATTCTCTCTTGGCTTTGAAAATTCTGGCATCTTGTGAGGGAGAAAACTGCCCCAAAGGCGAGGGGAGGGCTGAGCGCTGGAGGGGGACTTGCGACCAGGCCCAGGGCCTACAGCTGGGTTCCCAGCTGGGGCCACATTGAAAATAAACCGCTCCCCCTTGCCCTGCTGTAGAGGAAACTCAGCAATGGCTCAGCCACAGCTCCCAGGGACCCAAGGGCGGCGGCAGAGACTTTAGGTTTGCTCTGGCCAGGGGAGCCTGGGCTTCACATGAGTTTCTTTTACCCCCCAGAAGGGCTGGGGGGTAAGTGTCTGGCAGTTCTGGGGGGCCTGCTCATGGCTCAGGGACTGTTCTTGGGAGTGCTTGGAGGACTCTGTGTGCCTGGATAGCCTCTGGCACCCTGCAACTCAGGGACCCAGGGCCCACTCTTAGGTCACAGTCTCTCTCGCTCTCTATTCCTCTGCCACAGATAGTGGAACCACCGGAATAGTAGAGATCAACTGGGCTTCTGACATGCAAAGCCTGAGCTCAGCCTGTTTCTCTCTCTCTCTCTCTCTCTCTCTCTCTCTCTCTCCCTCCCTCCAACTCTCTCCTCTCCCCTCCCTTCCTTTCCCCTTATCTCCTCTTCCCTCCCCTCCTCTCTTCCTCTCTCTCCATTAGGGTCCCAGGGGACCACAGGGTGCTGGATCAGATGCAGAACCTCCCTGTTCCGCCCATCTCTCTCTCTCTCTCTCTCTCTCTCTCTCTCTCTCTCTCTCTCTCTCCCTCCCTCCAATTCTCTCCTCTCCCCTCCCTTCCTTTCCCCTTATCTCCTCTTCCCTCCCCTCCTCTCTTCCTCTCTCTCCATTAGGGTCCCAGGGGACCACAGGGTGCTGGATCAGATGCAGAACCTCCCTGTTCCGCCCATCTCTCTCTCTCTCTCTCTCTCTCTCTCTCTCTCTCTCTCTCTCTCTCTCTCTCTGTCTCTCTCCAGCCAGCAGCCCCTGTTGACTTTTCTTCGCTCACCCGTGGGCTCCGAGAGACCCTTTCCCAGCAAGGACCCTCCCCACCCGCTAGCACAGAGCCCCTCCTGGAAAGACTCTTTAAGCCATTTACGACTTTTTCCAAACCTAGGAAGACACTAGTATTTGGAGAAAGTCCCCAAATACCAGAAAGGACGTGTGCGTGTGCGTGCGTGTTTGTGTGTGTCTCTGTGTGTGTGTATGTGTGCGTGTGTGTGCATGTTTGTGTGTGTGTCTCTCTCTCTGTGTGTGTGTGTGTGTGTGTGTGTGTGTGTATCCTGGGAGGGGTGTGCCCGAGAAGACCCGAAGGGCCTGCACCTCTTCCTAGAACCCGGGCACACCGACAGCAGCGGACAGGTGGCGAGGAAACGCCCCGCGGCCGCTCGGAGTTCTGGGCGTTTGCCGGAGTGGCGCCGTCTGGCCGGGAGGCAGGGAAAGAAAGCGCGGGAGTGGGCGCGCGGGGGGCCCCGGCGAGGCTGGCATTTCCCGGGGCTGGCTGCCACCGGCCGATCTGCAGCCGGGGAGAGTGGGGGGACCCCCAGGCTAGGTGCGCTCGGGGCGCTGTCCGGGGCGCGGGGCCGCGCGCACCCAGCCGCAGGGCGAGGCCCTCCCGGGCCGGGGCGGGGCGGGGCGGGGCGGGCCGGGAGGCGGCCGGGGGCGCGGCTGCTCCGGGGTCCCCCCCACCCCCCTGCGCCCCGGGGCCGGCCCGGGCGGCGGCGCCAATGAGCGGCGAGAGGAGGGAGCGGGAAGCCGAGCGCGCCCGGCCGGGGCCTCCCACGCGCCAGAGTCCGGCGCGCGCCCGCAGCCGCTCCCCACCCAGCCGCGCGCCCCGGGTCCGAGCAGCGCCCCCCGTACCCCCTTGCGGAGCGCTCGCGCAGGAGCACGGGGAGCCAAGGTGGGTGGTGGCGCGGGCCGGGGCAGCCGCCCCCTGAAGATGCGGGATGGCAGGAGCGCCGCCCGCCAGCAGCCGCTCGTACCGCACCACGGGCTCCACCTGTCTGCACCCGCTCAGCGAGCTCCTGGGCATCCCCTTGGACCAGGTGAGTGCTCGCATCCCACACCCGGGAGGGAGGGGATTCTAGTCCGGGGGGCGAGTGCCGTGGGGGGCTGGACCGCGGTCTGCAATATGCACGGGCATAGGCAGGACAGGTGAACACATTACTCCTTCTTTTTCTCCTTCTTTTTTAAGTTCTTTTTTATTTTCTTTTGAATGAAGTGTTTTTCCTCCTATAAGTATTAAAAAAAAAACAAATTGGTGTACCCTGCCAGGCAGGTTAGAGTGAACTTTAATTTTTTTCCCCCTTTTTGAAGTTTTGGGTTACCTCATTTCCTGTAACCAAGTTGTATGAGGTTGTGATAAAGGAAACGGAGTGGTTTCTTTCAGGAACCACTTGGAGAAGGTCTAGTGGCGTTTGTTGAATTTGGAGGTTGAGTGTCCTACCTTTTTCCATCCACACTCCTCTTTATTCCTTTGGGTGTTGGGGCCACACCCAGCGGTGCTCAGGGTTTATTTCTGGTGCTGGGACTATTTGTGGGACCCGGGTTTGAATTCGGGTAGGCTGAGTGCAAAACAGGTGTCCGACTTGCTGTCTCCCCGTTCCCACACAGGACCCTGCTTAAAGGGGGGGGGGGGGGAGAAGGTAGCTCCAAGGGCGTGATCCCCAGCTGGGTGTGTCTCCAAAACTAGTCAATAAATCAATAAACCTGGTAGAACAGAAGGCTGCCGGCCTCTAGGTCTTTAACGGGATCTGGGTTTTTTTTTTTGACTTCAGCCGTGAGAGTTGGCAGAGAAGTGACAGTCACTTCTTTGCAACCGTGTCCGTTGCAAAGGGAGGAGAGCCACAAAGACGATTTTCTCCTTGTGCAGGAGGAACCCAGGTGGGGCAGGAGAGGGATCCACTTATTTGTTGCATTTATCCCTGATATTCTAGGTTCCGGAGTGGGACAGGTTGTTGTGGGAAGCTGAAACTATTTGGCTGTCCAGGAATGGTCTGATTTCATTCAACAAGGAACAGTCATTCCTGGTCGGAAATCTTCCCCTGGAGTTGAGCTGACTGACTCACTTTCTTCTCTGGAGGTGCCCAAGGCTAGCCTGTGAGTGTATTTAGGAGAGAGTCAATAAATAGATGTTGATTTAAATGGAATGGGCAGGTTGAGTTGGACCAAGGCCCAGCGGCCTTGGGATTGTTGTTTCATGCTGAGTTTTTGCCTAGTTTTCTTCCTCTGCTTGCACTGTTGATTTTTTTTCTTCTTCCCTTGCTTCATTTCTTCAAACAAGAACTTACCTGCTGCCCTTTTTTGCTCACATTCCTGAGCAACGAGGAAGTGAGACCGGCTGAGTTTCTGTGTTTCTGTTTACCGAGCTACCCTTTTACCTGGCTCCCTGCAAGGAGGATCTGATTTGGACTCCACCTGGCTGCTCTATCAGCCGCCAAGCCAAGAAACGGCGCAGGGAGAAGTAAACGGGGATAACTCCAGCCTTTGTGCAGTTCATGTTGGTTTCAGCTGTGTCTAGGCTCAAGGCTTTGGAACTAGGCACAGGGAGGGAAAGCAGTGCGTTCTTTCACAAAATATACTGCGGGTAGCCTTATTTCCTTCAGAGGAGTGTGTGTGTGTGTGTGTGTGTGTGTGTGTGTGTGTGTGTGTATACATACTTTCGACCCTACCCTTAAACAAATCACAGTTTTGTTTTTTTTCCTACTTTAAGGTATTCCCTACAGCCTACAGCTAAAGATTAGAATCCAGGGAGCTTTTTTTTTTTTTCCCCACCAAATTGGGGTTTTGAATTGTGCCTGGTGGTGTTCTTTGTTCAGGGACCACACCTGGCAGTGCTGGCAGCTGGTGGGAAGAGTAGGGGGAGAGTGCCAGCAAATTTGGGGCCAGAAATCAAACAGGGTTAGTTCCATGTGGAGGTGAGTGCCCTACTCATTGTATTTCTTCGGCCACTCCAGGGAGGTTTTTGGATTTGGAGCTATAAGGTTCTTGGTACTGGTGTGTTTTTATGAGGCACTTTTTTTCTTTTGGCTTTTTGGGTCACACTGGCAGTGCACAGGCGTTACTCCTGGTGGTGCTGGCGGGACCATATGGGATGCTGGGAGTCGAACCCGGGTTGGCTGCATGCAAGGCAAATGCCCTACCCGCTGTAGGATCGCTCCAGCACTTTAAAAGTAAATCTGTCCCCATCTCAGTGGCCTGGGTTCCTGTTAAAGGGACCCAGTTTTAAAGCCCGTTATAAAAAAACCCAACAGGGCAGGGCCTGGTCTAGATTCCATCCCCCGCATTGCTGAGTGTGGCTGCAGTCACCTTGCATGGGTAGAGTCGCCTTGGTGGTCCCTGGCACAGAAGGGTTAAAACCTCACATCCTCAGGTCTTAGTATGGAAGTGCTGGGCCCAGGGCCCTCTGAGCACTGCTTGGGAGTCCCTCCCCAGAGTCGTATGGATCTCTAAGAGTAGGAGGGAGGGATTTCTGGAATACACTTTAGGATAAACATGGACGCTGAGCAAGAAGGGAGAGCACTATCTTTGGAATGATTCCTGCTGGAAGAAACAATCCAGGGGCAATGCCGTTGGTAGCTTGTATTTGGCCCAGGAGAAAATCCCAACCTATATATCACGTGATTCAAGGCCAAGTGGTGACTCAAGAATGTCCTTGAATTTCCCTCAGTCAGATTGACCTGGGCAGTCGTTCTCAGTCGAGAGGTGGAGTTTCTTGTGACTGCTGCTGGTCACCTGTCCTCTCGGAGTCTCTTTACGAATAAAACCACGCTGGTGGTGGAACGTTTGCAGCTAAGATGCTGTTTACAGGTCACAAATGCCCAGCCTCAGGGCAGGGCCTTGTCTCAGGAGGTCCTGGTAGGAAATAGAATTCTGGCCAATGGGTTGCAATGCAGAAACTTGGATGAGCCGCTCACAGGGTTGTGGGGGCAGCTTAGGAGAATCAAAACAGGATGGTGAGGTGCCCAGACCTGGGTGTCATGGCCTCATGATATATGTGTCACCCAGGCCTACATGCCTTCTCGCCGCCCCCATCTTTCTGTCTTGCGTGTGGCTTCCCCCCACTCATTGTCGTCTCCCAGGAAAGGCTGGTCTGGGTCGCTGGGTGCTTGGAGCTGCCCGACTCTGCTCCCGGCACACAGCAAAAGCAACAGGAAGAAAGGGGAGCTGGATCTGGAGGGCAGTGGAAGGAGACGCGCGCAGGCCTTCGTGGTTGCTTGTTTCTGCCCCATCAAAGAGGGACGTTCATTGGCCTGCTCTGCGCTAGAAACGCTGCAGCGTGTGCCTCACGTTACCAGAGGGCTCTACAAGTGTGAGACTCTTTCCCTGACGCCTTAACATTTCACATGTATACGTGTACATGTTCTCTTCCTTCCTTCCTTCCTTCCTTCCTTCCTTCCTTCCTTCCTTCCTTCCTTCCTTCCTTCCTTCCTTCCTTTACCTTCCTTCCTTCCTTCCTTCCTTCCTTCCTTCCTTCCTTCCTTCCTCTCTTTCTTTCCCTCCCTCCCTCCCTCCCTCCCTTCCTTCCTTCCTTCCTTCCTTCCTTCCTTCCTCCTTCCTCACTGTGATTTACAAAGTTGTTTCATAGGAGAGTTTCAGGTGTACAGTGTTCCACACCAGTTCCACCAGTGTGACCTTCCCTCACCAATGTTTCCTGGTTCTCTCCACCGTCCCCTGCACCCTGCACCTCACCCTCGCCCCCCCTCCCATCCCAGGTCTTCTTGGCAGAGACTTTTTTTTATTAAAAATATTTTAATAGTGAGACATCATGAGGTACAGTTGCAGACTTACACATTTTTGTGCTTGGGTTTCAATTATACAATGATCAAATACCCATCCCTCCACCAGTGCCCATTTCCCACCACTGCGGATCCCAATATCCCTCCCACCCTCCTTCCCCCCCATCCCACCCAGTCTCTGTGGCAGGGCATTCCCCTCTGTTTTCTCTCTCCTTTTGGGTGCTGTGGTTTGCAAAAGAGACATTGAGTGGCAATCGTGTTTGGTCTAGAGTCTACTTTCAGCATGCTTCTCCCATCCTGGAAGGATCCTCCCAACACCTTTATTTGGTGTTCTCCTCTTTATCTGAGCTGGCAGGGACATTTTTAATGTTAAGTTACTGTAGTTTGGGTCTTTTGCTGGCGATATTGGCTCAGTGTTGTAGACAAACACACATATCTTGACATCACCAGTATACTCACAGCAGGCGGGGGGATGGGGTGGTCCTCCTCCCCTGCCACCTCCTGTCCATCTCTTCTTAGTCCACATCTCGACTCCATCCTTCTCATGTTTGCGGTGCTGAGGACAAAATTCAGAGCCTCACATATGCAAGGCAAATTGCCATGCCAGCCCTCACGTGCACTTTCCTCATGTCTGAAGGGGTTTCTGGGAATGCCTTTACCGCTCAGCACACCCATGGCGGGTCAGTTACCCTTTGCAAGATCTGAAATAACCAAGAAACTTTCTACTGCCCGTGCTTAGCCTTCTAAGAGTTTTCACTGGAATTTTCCTTCTCCTGATCTGTCCTGCTAACTCCTGGAGGAATCTGGTGTGCAGTTGTGATGACACTGAGGAAAAGTGTGTGGTTTCAGTTTTCAGAGACGTTTACCAGTTGGACATCTTCCCCGAAATGTGAAATGGAAAGTTAGCTTATTGAATTAGACACCGAGCCGCGCCCCCCCCCCCCCTTTCCGGTACTGAGTAGCAGAAGAGGCGAAAGTAACTTAGGTGCCTGGCTTATGAGTGTTTTAAAAAGTCCATTTAGTCCTTGTCCATCAGGCAGAGAGGGAGCAGCTATGGCAATTAGCAGAATTATTTAGATATAAAGCTTCACTTGCCTGGATTAAATGAGGTAAGAGGCCTGGAAGAGGCATTTTTTGTTCTGTTTAAATCATCTTCTTGTGTCAACCCCCAACACCCCCTCCTGTCCCCCCCCCCCCCCATTTTATTTTGTTTGCGGAGTGTGACATAATCTGTCTGGAAACTAACTGGGTCTTCTCAGTTTGCAGAACTGACTCCATTACCAGCCCGGCCTCAGTTGAGTTGACGC